TCACCCAAAAAGAAAATCAACCCTCTGCTGGTAGCATTTACCTCAGATGATGAAAATGAACATGCACCAGCCCACTCTGCTTTATATGGTTACCAAGCAGAAACCGTTATCAGCCTGGATGCATATCCTTTGGAATGGTGGTCGAAGCATGAAGGGACACACAAATCTTTAGTGCATCTGGCATGTAAATATTTTGCAATGCCAGTTAAAACAGTGTCACGTGAATGCCTGCTTTCTCTTTCAGGTGAGATTGTAAACAAGAAGTTGGCAGCATTATCTCCTGCAAATTGTAACCAAACTTGTTTGCCCAAGTGATTGGAAGAACAAGAAGTAGAAATGAGCAGAGTTTAGGCTCTAAAGTTTTACATTGTTTTATTTTTGAATGCAGTTTTTTTGTATATAGTTCTACATTTGTACGTTTAATTTTCATGATAAAGAGATTGCACTAGAGTACTTGTATTAGATGAACTGAAAAATACTAATTCTTTTGTTTTTCACAGTAATTTGTATTGAAAATAAATATAAAGTGTGGATTGTACACTATAGTCTGTGTTGTAATTGAAATAGAGATATTTAAAACATTAGAGAATATCGAAAAATATTTAGATAAATGGTATCCTATTATGTGTAACAGCAGGATTAGTCATGAGATTAATCATAATTAATTTTGTATTGCTTGAGAGCCCTATTAAAATATTTTTAATTACTAGGTGGGAAAAAAATCTCAATAATGGCCAAAGGGAGAAGCATAAAACAGTTTCATGAAATTATGTTATTAAACTATACTGTAATTATTAACAAATAAAATATTCAATTTTAAAATGTAAAAAGAATATATATAAAATTAGATTATTAAAAAAATTATGTAAATACAATTTCTGCTATAGAAAGTTTTTAAAATATTTTATTTTGTAGGTTACAACAGAATTCAAGATACCTCAAGAAGTAATAGCAAAAATACCCTGAATACATTTGATGAAATGGATTATTTGATAGAAACCACTGTTTAGTTGCACAGTACTCAATATTTATTTGATATTTATTGAAATCCTACCTTTATATATGGAACAGCTGCCAGAAGTCAGAGAACACACTTTGATTATATGACTTCAACCCACATATCAAGAGAGAGAAGCCAAAGGAAAAGAGAGTATTGCATTTAGCTCTGTTGTGAGCCTTTTGAACAAAACCCATGGGCTGTGTCTACATTGGCATGATTTTGTGCAAAAGTACCCACTTTTCTGTAAAAATATGCTGCCTGTCTATACTGGTGGGGAGTTCTTGCGCAAGAACACTGACGTTCTAACGTGTGAAATCAGTGCTTCTTGTGTAAGAACTATGATGCTCCCGCACAGGAATAAGCCCTCTTGCGCAACTATTCTTGCACAAGAGGCCAGTGTAGACAGGCAACATGAATTTCTTGCGCAAGAAAGCCCGATGGCTAAAATGGCTATCGGAGCTTTCTTGCACAAGAGAGCGTCTACACTGGCACGGATGCTCTTGCACAAAAGCACATCTCTTGCACAACGGCACACGCCAATGTAGACGTATTCTTGCACAAATACTTTAACTCAAGAACTCTTGCATTAAAGAGTATTTGCACAAGATCATGCCAATGTAGATGTAGCCATGGTGTCAACATTTATCTGGTGATGTTTAAATAAAGTTCTTTACTTTCTATTGGTTAAACAAGCAAAACCAAATGTAATATACAATATTTTCTCCTTTTGGAAAAATTATTCAGATCTCTTTGATGTCTGGTACTGTACTTTCTATACTGATCGCTCTAATGCATAAAAATCATTTTATGTACTTACAATAGTTAAGTTTTAAAAATATGAAAAAAGACATTTCAGGTTTGAATTAGAACCACAATGTAAAGTGTATAATTTAGAAAGTTCTGACTATAGTGTTGTTTTCATTTTGACTAAAAGTGTTATCATCATGGATCTCATTCTAAAAAGTGTAATCAACTTTCACTGAACCTGCAGGATCCGCTTTCTGATCTATAATGGCTAGGGTTTTTTTTTTCATTTGTACATATGCATTCCCTTTTACAAGAACAATAGGTCACTAAAATTAATTCATTTAAGAAGGGTTGCTGTTTGGATTTCTTTAAATGACTGGGTCTCTGGCCTTTTGCTAGTACCATTTGAAAATCCACCTCTTGTCATGTTTTACTGCTTTAACAGAATAACTGTTACCTCCATGAGTGGTTTTGTTGTTGTCGTTGTTGTTGTTATTGTTTTAAATTAATGCCTAATACCTGCTACTTTGGGAAGATTAGCAGTAAATTTTTATCTGTGAAGAAATTATTTTTAAAAATCAGTTGAATGCAATGTAATTGTGAATTTTTAAACTCTTTCTCTCTATTGAGAGTATCACATGTTGCAGTTTCTGTAGCACTTTGTATTTAATCAGTCCTCAAGACATGTCATTTTGAATTATGTTTGGTTTTCTATTTTATGTACATGTGCATATATAAAAGAAATGTTTTTGCTTTACGTATGTTCAACATTTGTTATTGTATTCCTGCAGAATGTGCCTTAATCATCATGGATTCTGATCTAATATTTTCATAGTTACAGTCTATTTTAAGGAACCTATTCAAAAAAGTAGTAAGAGATGCATTAGATCCTAATAAATTGCATGAATTATCTTCACAGTGGATCAGCTGGTCTACAAGACTACTGTATTAAGGGAAAAGAACATAAAGAACCTATACAGCAAGGAGCAGGGTGCAGAGCTATTTGGGATGGTAAATGTTGTTAGTAATCAGATTTCTATAGATCCTGTATTGTCTGTCTCTTACTATGAACAGCCCCAGTACAGATGTCAAGTGAAACTGAAACAAACTCCTCAAAGTTGAAATCCTAAACAGCCAAGCTTACTTTTACTGGAGGACATTCCTGTGTGGTATCAATTTGATGACTGAATCATGTTTGATTATCCTAGTAGCACATGTGAGTAAGAGTATGTCTATACTAGTGTTATTTTGAAATAGCTTATTTTGAAATAACACGTCTACACAAAAAATACATTTCGAAATAGCATTTTGCTATTTCAAAATAGCACCTCCACGCTGAGTGGACTCTGAATTGCATTTAAGGCTGCCCAGAACCAATTCCAGCAGGGCTCTAGGTCAAGACTTACTGCATGGAGCTGCTGCCTGAGGCTCGCCAGACCTACCTGATTTTCATGCGAACCTGCTCCTAGGTTCGCATGTGGCCTTTGGTGGCCAGGCAGGCAGCTATCCTGCCATAGACGACAGTGTTCCTCCGTCTAGTGCAGAGATCATGGACGTTGGGGGCATCTCCTCCTAACCTGAAAAAGGTCCATGAGCTCCATCCTGGACCAGAAAGGCACCCACACTCCAGGCCCTGGCAGGCTCCTGGGAGCTGGCAGACTGCTCCTGGGGAGCGGTGGAGGGCTGGCTTGCTGGCTCATGTTTTGGGACCACTGGGTCAGGGGCAGTGACTGCTGGCTCTGTGCTGGCAGGCTTGGAGTTGGCACAGGCACTGTGACCAGAGTCTACCCCTTGAAGGGCTCCGGGGAGGGGGGAGGGAGAGAAGTGTTCTTGGTTGAGGCTGGAGTGGCCACCAGGGCACCCTAGGAAGGCTGTAGGCCCCCTATTTTTGAAATAAGTGTCTACACCGCACTTATTTCGAAATAGCTATTTCAAATTTGGTGTTATTCCTCGTAGAATGAGGTTTACCAAATTCAAAATAAGTGCTCCGCTATTTCGAATTAATTTTGAAATAGCGGTTTGGCTGTGTAGACGGTAGGAAAGTTATTTCGAAATAAGGGCTGTTATTTCGAAATAGCTTTGCTGTGTAGACATACCCTAAGAGAGCAGAGTCTTGTGGGAATATTTCTTCAGTGCTAATAGCTTTTTTTCTCTTTTTGAGGGTGGAAGTTATAAACTGTTAGCCAAGAATGTTGCAGTATGGCCATATGTTTGGCTTTTGGTTATTTCACCTATGCCTGTTAGGACATGTCTTAACTACATCCCTCTTTCAAAAGAGGGATGTAAATTAGGCAGATCAAAATTGCAAATTTGAATTTCCCGTGCTTCATTTGCATAATGACAGCTGCGTGTTCGTTCGAAAACAGGTATTTCAAAAGGGATACTGCCGTCTAGACGCAGTTCTTTCAAAATAACCTTTTTCTAAAGAATGCGCGGCTGCCATTATGCAAATGAAGCACGGGAAATTCAAATCCCAGCTTAACTTGCAATTTTTATCTGTCTAATTTACTTCCTTCTTTCGAAAGAGGGATGTAGTCTAGACATAGCCTTAGCTACCTGGGAGAACATTCCTCTTTATATAGAACTGAAAAGGCACAGCACATGCACAGAACCTTACTTTGGTCATCTTGCGTGATTGCTTCTAGTAGTTTTCCAGTCAGGATATACTTATGCCATTGTGGCCAAAGAGCCTAGCTAGAACATGCACTATCAGATGGTTTATATGCAGTAGGATTGCAAGGAATATGGCCACAATGATAATAGCTAGAGGAGGCCAAATTCTGTACTTTTCATATATTATTTATTTAAAATTAAAGAAATAAATCAGATAATTTAATAAACATATATTTCTCCTGCATTTATTATTGTCTTGACATTGCAATGGAAACACAAAGCAAGAATAAATAACATTGGCTGGGAGTGATGGAGAAAGAATATACCACTTGTCAAAGGGAAAGGATGGTGACATTTTGACTATGTCTACACTGCTGTTTTTTTCGGCAGAAGATGTGCAAATCATGCTCTCATTTGCATATCTTCTGCCAATCCTTTTTGCGGAAGAGATTTTGCCGCTAAAAAGCCCCGTGTAGACGGGGCCATTCGTTGGAAAAAACCCTTTTGTGAGATCTTGCTCAAAAGGTTTTTTCCCCCCAACAAATGGCCCCTTCTACATGGGCTTTTTAGCGGCAAAACCTCTTCTGCAAAAAGGATTGGCAGAAGATATGCAAATGAGTGTGTGATTTGCATATCTTCTGCCGAAAAAAACAGCTGTGTAAACATAGCCTTTCTGGTCCATCATTCAAAATAATACCATGAAGTATAACTGTAGATGCATCAGGGTATTTTATAATGGCCTTATCATATAATTAATATTAATTTATGAGGGATAAAATCTAATTACAAATATAATATATTTTAAATTAAAACCTTCTAAGTAATCTGTCTCTTTACTGTATTATAGCTAGTACTCGAAATAGAAAAAAATTACAATATTCACCAATCCTCAGTTTTTTCAATATTCTCCTTCCTTTTTAAATTCAGCAGCTGTAATGTGTGAAAGAGAAAATATAATATCCAGCTATAATTTCTTTTTTCAGTTCAAACAGTGGTTGGACCTGTAAAAATGTAAGAAACTATTTTTGGCTAGCAAGTTATCAAGAATAAAATAAAAATCAAAGGAAAATTTAAATATGAGAATACTGAACAGCAAATTCCTTTTCCTTCTGCAGATTTTATTGTACAATGATATGTGCATCCTATTGATATCCTGTTGTGGTTTTTTTGTTCTTGCTATATTGATTTTTGAGGAAAGGCATTAATATCAGAACCTTTTGGTTTTTTGTAATTAACTGAATCTCCAACTTGTTACTGCACATGGTTTTTTTTCAGTAATACAGCTAGTTACTTCAAATATAAAAAATAATGCATAAGGTTTTTAATGCTTTCTCTGCCCTGACTGGCATCAATATATCATAATAAATATTCAGAGAGTTAATTCGTGTCCCCCATTCTTTCCGTCCCTGTGATACTCAGACCTAGTTCCTAAAAATACAGAATAATTAAATTACATTTTCAGCATCCTGATAAACTCCACATGGAATCTTTTTTTTCATATATCTGATACAGAAGTTATGAATCATCCTCCATCAAAAAATTATGACAATTAGTTCACAATTAGGAAAAGGTTTGTGCAGTGAAAATTCTCTGACCTATATTTTTCAACAGGCTCCAGTGGAAGTTGGTTGATGATAGTTTAATTGACCTTATTAACAAATTACTTTACAACATGTTTCTAATTGTGAAGTTAATTATTTATCCAGATTGGATGTGGCAATTCTATAACATATTAACCTGATCTTGCATTCTTCGTATATATAAAACTCCTTTGAAATAACAGGAGTTCTGGAGTACAAGAATTGCTTGATCGTACACTATGCCATGTAAATGTAATCCAAATTGCAAATGCAGAAAGTTTTATATTTTCCTTGATGCAGAAATTGTATCATATTTTCATCAAAATTCTTACACTTCCCACAAATGTTGACCATTAAGAGAAATATTGTACCAGTAAATATGCCACTAATTCAACAAAATCCATTTTTATTTGTCTTTAGAAATTTTACATTAATTAGAAAATCCTTTAAGTGTATTTTACTCAGAGTAACTTTCTTACTCAAATTTAAAGCATTTCCTAAAACAATGTGTATTTTTTCAGTAATGTAGACTTCAAGGTGCAAAATTCTGAAAAACATTTGGGAAAGACTTAACATTTGTGAAAAAAACTTTAGATAAGATTTTATAACATACTGATCAATAATTTGATATATTGTATAGACACAATTTTGCAGAATACATTCAATAATTAGTTATATAAACTAATAATATTTAATTTTAGTATCTGCAATAAACCATGAACATGGCTAAAAGTAATAATATTTGTAGTTCAAAAGTGCTTCTCATTTTCAAAGTCCTTAGCAAAATTAATTAATACGGAATTTTAAATTAAGGGTTAATTTCTGCATTGACTTATGTTCAATAAATCCCCACTGACTTCACCTAAATTACATGGAGCAGAAATCAGAAATTAATTTGGTCCTATATATAAAGTTTCACAATCTTTTACAAATGTCCTAGTTTTAAGGCAAAAGGGATCTAATACATTTTGCAGTAAGCTTTACTTTGACTGTTTTTACAAAAGCTTGTTTCTTTTCATAATATGCAGCCTCATTCACAAAAGTTGGGTATACTGTAGAATCCCCTTCATATGTAATAGTCTCACCATCCATAGTTAAAAATATAGGATCCCCATTATTCAGTGGCTGCCAATCTTGATCCTTATAGGAAATCAGATTATAGATTATGTTAGAAAATAGATATTTTCACTTTCATATGTTTTGAAAACTTTCATATAAGATTGTTAAGTTAATTATGTATAATTATACCACTTTGTATGGTTTATGGCACAAACTTTCAAGGCATCATTGATTTGGTATGCGTGACTTTAAACATCCTGTGCCTGATTTTAGGAGTGCTAAACTTTTCTAGTTGAAATAAATAGGAACTATGAGTGTCCAGCAACTCTGAAAATCAGGAACAAGTTTTCTCAAAGGTTTGGCTCCCAAAATTGGAAGTACCTGTTGAGAATTAAAGTATACCATACCTTATTTACCTTGAGTTTTTGTTCAAAATTGAGTTTAGAACTTTCCAAATCAATTCCTGAAATACTGTAAACCATTAGTTATAAAACTTGTACGAGTGATCCTAAATCATTCAATCTCTCCATTTGTGGATTTGACATAATAATAATTATAAATATCTTATTCAATGTTATTCTACATACTATGCTATAAAGCAAACATCAAAGAAATACCTATAAAATGTTGCAAATAAATGCTCTGTACTTAAAATGGGGACAATTTTGACTGGGAAGGCAGCCGTGTTTTATAGCCATAAAGGGGAGAGGCAAATGAGGTCAGAGACCACTGCAAAAGGTGAATGATGGTAAGCTTTGCCTCACTGACTCACCCCCCAGAAATGTGATATCTGAAAGTCATAAAGGTGCAAGCTCTGTGTATGAGATTGGAAGGCATTTTTTCCGCACCACTCGATTGACTTTAGTGGAGTGAGGTTTTTTTCGCCTTCCTTACAGCAGGTGTCAGAAAGGACCTTTAATAGTAAAATGAAAAGGGGCAGGCTGCATATCACAACTTATTCTATAAGTGTGGGATGGATGCTCAGTACAGGTGCTCCATAGGGAAGACATACAATGACCAGATAAATGGCCTGGTAAAGGACTTGAAAGGAGGTGGTGGATAAAGGAACAGAACAAAGGCTGGGGGCTGGAGACAGCCACATAGCTTCCTATTAAGCCCCACACAGGGGCTCAAGGCTGCAGGGGGAGAGATATCTCTCCCAAAGCCCTGAAGCTGCCATGGCCAGGGCAGAGGCACCTCTCCCCACAAGCACTAGCAAAGAACTGCTGCAGTGAGGGGAGAAAAGCTCTTCAATGGGCCCCAGAATGGTGCTGATCTGGCAGAGGAAGGAACCCATCCCACATCCCCAGCATGAACGCTGTGGTCAGAGAGGATGCACCCCTCCCCTGGTCTCAGCATGGAGCCCTTGTGGCAGGGCAGATGGCCCGCTCCTCTCCAGCCCCACCATGGAGATGCTGAAGATGAGATAGCTGTGTACGAGCCATTGGAGAAACAGCCAGCACAGCAGGAGGGTTTACAGGACTCTCAGTGCTAAGCACCTGTTCAGCACACCCATTGGCCAGTACCCCAGACAGGCAAGCACCAGGTAGCCTGCTTTAGCACCGCTGACCAGGAACCACCAAGGTAAGCCCGAGCCACAACCTCCTGCCCCACACTGAGCCCTCCCAAACATAGTCACTTACCACACCCCAAAGCCCATAACCCCAGTCCAGAGCCCATACCCCCTTCGTGCATCTGAAGTCCCAGCCCAGAGTCTGCACCTCCTCCTGCACCTAAATCCCCAGGCCTAAGCCTCTCCCCATACCTAGAGCCCCCTCTTGTACCCTAAACCCCTTATTTCAGAGCCCAAACCCCCAGCCAGAGCCCTCACCCCCTCCTGCATCCAAACTAGCTGAGCCTGGAACCAAACTAGCTCAGTCTCATTTAGAGCCAAACTCCCACTGAAAGCCCTTACCCCAATCCTTAGGCTCTACCTCCACCACACACTGTCCATATGCAGAATGACTTTTGTTATGTGATACATCATGTCCATATTGGTGCACATAATGAAAGTAATTCAGCATAGAGATATAACAATATAATGGGAACACTACTGGGTACTCCTACTATGGTACAGCAAGGAGCCAAACCCCACCCTCTCCTGTTTTCACAACCCACTTTAATCCATCTGCAAGGGGGGTGGATAATAAGGTACAAGCCATCATCTGGCTGAGGAGACCTGAATGGAAAATGAAGAGGTGTTGGTGCAAGCCCCAGGCAATGGTTTCAATAAACATGATTTTGCCTGCACTATATACTTTATCTGCTAGGAAATCTCAGACATCTATAATAAAGTTGTGGCCTGATTAAAATCCATATCAAGTGTTTCCTGTCCTTCTTTTGGTATACCCAGGCAACGAAGAAGAATGATAGACTTTTACCTGCAGGCAAGGATGAATAACAGCAGTAATTTCACCATTTTTATTCCTGGGATAATCTACTTTCTCAATTATTTTGTAAACTTCAATTGTACATGGTGGAAATTCCTTTCCTAAAAAGAATAAATATATTAGAGAATGATTTAAATATCCCCCGCGGCATTTGCATTTACATTCCTTTCAAGTAGGAATAAAAGATCCTCCGGAAAAGGGCTTATTTTCCAGAGAATCACGTCTAGACTGGCGCTTTTCTCCATCTTATCCCCAAGCCAGAAAAAAGCAGCAGCCATGTAAATGCAAATGCCGTGGGGGATATTTAAATCCCCCGCGGATTTGCAATTGCGATGTGTCTCATTAGCATCCCTTTTCCGGAAAGGGATGCCAATGTAGACACAGCCTTAGTGTATACTTATTGTACAGTAAGTTGTGAACACAGTTGTGAACTACTTTCTATAAGTGACGTACCTTTTAAAATACATTTTTACTATAGTTCTAGATGCTCAAGATTCAATAAAAAGGGCAGAGGTCATTAGCAACAGAAATTCTTAAGGCTTACGTGCACTTCTCAATTCCAACATTCATATAAATTATTCATGCTGTAATTCAGAATAAGTAAAATAAATTGGAAATAAGATATTAAAGACTGTATGAATGAACTTACTATTAATGCTACAAAAATAATACAAAATATGAGCATCTTTTGTTGCATTGCAAAATGCTATAGCTTCATTTATTTTTTAAAAATCTACTCTTTTGCAATGAGTTAACTAGCAGAGAATAGTAGTGTTCATGCTTGCATAATTTACTATACCTTCATTAAAAATGTGCACAAAATCAAGGCCATGTTTGATAATTTTTCTCATTTTGTCCAGAATATCAGCTCTAACCACTCCTTGGGGCTGAGGCCCAACTTCCACACCTGTGTACAAATGAAGTAGATATTGACAAACATATTATATGTCACATGTTTAAAATGCACACTAAAAATATACATTCCTGTCTGTACTTAACATTTTAGAATGAAGTATTAATGTTTGAGTTAGTCTGTGTGACTCTTTCACTAACATAAGCAGGATTTGAACCTATGTAACTCACCAGTTAATATTATACGAACTGTTTTAAAGAAATCTCAGTAACATACTTTAATTAGAACTGTCATACTAAGCTAGGGTCTGTCTACATAGCATAGTTATTTTGAAATAACAGCCGTTATTTCGAAATAACTTTCCTAGCGTCCACACAACCAAATCGCTAATTCAAAATTAATTTGAAATAGTGGAGCACTTATTTTGAATTTGGTAAACCTCATTCTACGAGGAATAACACCAAATTCGAAATAGCTATTTCGAAATAAGTGCGGTGTAGACACTTATTTCAAAAATAGGGGGCCTATAGCCTTCCCAGGGTGCCCTGGTGGCCACTCCACCCTCAACCAAGAACACTTCTCTCCCTCCCCCCTTCCCCGGACCCTTTAAAGGGGTAGACTCTGGTCACAGTGAGCCAGCAGTCACTGCCCCTGACCCAGTGGCCCCAAAACATGAGCCAGCAAGCCACTGGCAGCCAGCCCTCCACCTCTCCCCAGGAGCAGTCTGCCAGCTCCCAGGACCTGCCAGGGCCCTGAAAACGTGGGTGCCTTCCTGGTCCAGGATGGAGATCATGGACCTTATTCAGGTTTTGGGGGGATGCCCCCAACATCCATGGTCTCCACACTAGACGGAGGAACATGGCAGTCTATGGCAGGATAGCTGCCAGCCTGGCCACCAAAAGCCACACGCGAACCCAGGAGCAGGTTCACATGAAAATCAAGTTGGTCTGGCGAGACCCCCCAACCCCGAGCCCTGAGCTTCCCCCCCCTTCTTACCCTTGCTTCCCCCTTCCAGCTCCCTCCTCTCAGGTTTCTCCGTCCCCTCTCTTCTCCTCTCTCCCGCCTCCTTTCCCCAGTCTCACCAGAGTTTCATTCTCCCCTCCCCCCCCAGTTTTGTTAAGTAAAGAGAGTTTGTGTTTATGAAAATACGTGTATTTTATTTTACGTCAGGAAGAGTGGTTAGAGAGGGGTAAGTGGAAGGATGTGAGGGAGGAATAAGGCACAAGCCCCCAGTGGGGCAGACCAGGGAGGCTTTTAGTGCTTCTCCGGGTGGAAGCTCTCCTGCAGGGCCTCCTGGATACTGACAGCCCTCCGATGGACTTCCCAGATGGCAGCCTGCAGAAAGTGCAGCCAGGCTCGCAGCAACGCTTCCAAGAGAAGCACCAGAGTGCCTAGGGGCTGCTCTGTCTCCATGCTGCAGAGTGTTGTGGTGTCTCGAGTGAGGGCAACCAGAGGACACAGAGACAAAATGCTTTTTTGTCCCTCATTGAGGTAGGCAAGCAAGGGAAACCTGAGAACCGGCTGTCCGGGGGGGGGGGCCTTTAAGCCCAGGCCTCAGATAGCCTCAGGTAGCAGCCACACAAAGTAACTCCTGACCTGATGCCCTGCCAGACCTGGTTCCAGCCGCCTTAAATGCAATTCAGCGTCCACTCAGTGTGGACGTGCTATTTTGAAATAGCAAAATGCTATTTAGAAATGCATTTTGTGTGTAGACGCATTATTTCGAAATAACTTATTTCGAATTAACTATTTCAAAATAAGATATTTCGAAATAACACTATAGTGTAGACATACCCCTAGAGTGAGGATCCAGAACTTATGTACATTCTTCTTAGTCTCTTCTCCTCATCTTTCGTTCTCTTTCAGAGAATTACCAGGTTAATTAACTTTGAAAGCAAAATAATGCAAAATTTCTCTTATGTTATACTGTTTATTGCAGTATAAATTAACAAGTTAGCCATTTCAGTTCAAACATTACTCTTCTTTCCTTTATCCCACCATACCTTTTCCCTTTTCTGGTTTATAACCAATACTGCATCCTAGTTTTATTTATGAAAAATAAATACCTCTTCTGAAGTAAACATCAGTATTGCTGATAATTAAACAACAGAATTTTCTTTGTATCCTAAAATGTTATAAATATCTCCCATAAAATAATATTCCTACAAAAAGTAGACTAATTATTAAAGAGGGGGAGGCACTTTATGAAGCAGGATGGATAATTTATTTACCAAATCAAGCCCATATGATTATGAAGCAGGTGGATGAAGCTCAGTATAGCAATTTAGAATCATAGAAACATAGAATACTAGAACTGGAAGGGACCTCGAGAGGTCATCGAGTCCAGTCCCCTGCCCTCATGGCAGGACCAAATACTGTCTAGACCATCCCTGATAGACATTTATCTAACCTACTCTTAAATATCTCCACAGATGGAGATTCCACAACCTCCCTGGGCAATTTATTCCAGTGTTTGACTACCCTGACAGGAACTTTTTCCTAATGTCCAACCTAAACCTCCCTTGCTGCAGTTTAAGCCCATTGCTTCTTGTCCTATCCTCAGAGGCCAAGATGAACAAGTTTTCTCCCTCCTTCTTAAGATATTTTAGATACCTGAAAACGGCTCTCATGTCCCCCCTCAGTCTTCTCTTTTCTAAACTAAACAAACCCAATTCCTTCAGCCTTCCCTCATAGGTCATGTTCTCTAGACCTTTCATCAT